GCGTCCTTACTGGTCCTACGTCCACCTAGCCCGTCCACTTGAGTCCAGAACAACAATACCAGCTCCCACTATGGGAATTGAATCGAATCATTTATTTCAGACATACTGTATTTATATATCAAACAGACCACGACGCACCATAAAACAGAAAATAGCATTTGTACACAATAAAGCCAAAAAGTGACTGTGAGTGTGGGAGGCAGTAGTCAATAAACTGAACATAGCTTGAGAACAGTAAATCTTACAATGATAAGTTATGAGTCAAAATAAAGCTCATAATAAGAGAAATATAAATATACATAATCTAATTATTGGATAATTATACCGTAAGAATGTATAGATAATATTAGTCAAATAATGTGTCTCAGAAGTTACTCCTGATTTAATCTTCGCTCGAATATAACAATAGCTAATTTTGGGTTTATTCTGAAGTCTCCAAAAGAGGCTATGAGGTTATTCGCCTTTGGATTTGTTTTCCATATATTGAAACGAAACGTGGCATCCTTGATAGACCGTAGCAATTAGTCTACGGTGTGTGCTACTTATATCGACATAAGTAGTAGATAGCGCTGGTCAGAAATAAAATGTCCGGCAGCAGAAGGTAGAGAAGATCGAGGACAGAAAACAATTGGTATGGAAGTGCGGAAACGATGAACTCTGAGACAACTAATGAACATTTTGCGAATGAAATCTTTATTGAATGCTTCTCAGGTTTTACTTAGATATTCTCTAATATCGTATTAAAATACACTCGATTGTCCTCACTTGTGTTCTTGTTCACTACAAGTCATCTACGATTGTATCAAATGTTGTCACATTTCTCTTAAATGCAGCTAACTTAACCGTATATTTGTTGTAATAGTTTGTACCATATAATTTGACGACTTTAATCTTAACTTAACGAGCTACATAAAAAGGAGCATGTGGGCCTTTATATCAGTGTCTAATGGATTCGCCTTATATTATCTAAATGGTTTGACTAGTCAAATTTATGATGAGAATAATCACTTGGTAGATGACACGGAAATCGGTCTTCCTGTTAGTGAAGACCGCGGCAGGAAATCTCTTAGTTTTCACTTTAATTCAAATATATTGGTTGTTTGGAAGTCTCAATTGATTTTCAGGACTCCAACTAATCCGTCTGTTTTTGACATATGTGCATCCTCTGTAGGTCACCTCGATATTTAAGGCAGGTCACGAGCATTTAGATCAGAGATGGCTATTAATGAAAAGTTGAGGGCAAGAGTACTCCTAAGTACCTCCCTGTATATCATTGCTCTGTCTCGTACTTTTTGTTTTCCATCAAATCCGGAATTGATTTTGTGTGAAATTGATAGGTGAACCAATTATTGATTAGGATTACATGATTCATTTTGAAGTGGAGACCTATGTGGGAGGCCTGCTGGACAAAGTGGAGACCATTCAAGATGGTGGGTGGGTATTGAATCACCAAAAATATACTACAAATTGTCAGACAAACAACTTTTAATAGGAGAAACTTGGAAAACTAACCACAGTAAGGAGTATTGATCATGGTGCAATCATATGCAATTTGGCTACGAGGTAGATACTGTAGTGAGACAAGGATGTTCCTTACCTGTGTTGCAGCTGTTCAGATCTCAGGTTCATGAGAGAGTGTCTTACAATACTCCGGCCCTCACACGAGGGTGTGTATGTTCAGATTTATTAAGGTCTTCAAACAAGCTATTCGGCAAATAAACAGTGAGATTTTAGCTTGATAAATTACCTGTTCGTCTATGCATATGTGCGTTCATTTTGTAATAACCAGTATTAATGACTGATCTCATGTGACAGCTTAAGCATTTATTGTCCATCGTTGCTTGAATTTTGATTGCTTATAAAGATTGATAAATGACATGTGTGCTCCATTTATTTTTCTCTTGAACTGCACTCATTTGTATGCGAATCTCGATGCTGTTGTACCAACTCTGCTTAAGCTAATCGCGAACTTCTTCGAACAGGTACAACAAACATGTGATCATCAGCATAGGGTTGTTCAGATTATTAAGTTTTTGGTTGAGATCATGAACCGATTGATGTTAGACCACCGTTGGAAACTTGTAAGCACTGAACGGCCGTTTCGTCCTATTGCGGGACTCTTCAGCAGTGCACATCCACGATCACGCTTGCAGGATTCGAACCTGAGATGTCGGCCGCGTGGTACATTAGGATAAGCGTTCACATGAGAGACTGAAGGCCCTGGGTGTGGATCCCGCCAGTGGGGACGTGGATTCGCACTTCTGAGGAGTCCTAATGCTTTCAGGTTTCCAACGGTGGTCTGACATCAATCAGTTCATGATCTCAATCAAGAACATGTGATCAGATCAGGCGATGGATAATACGAGGATCACCACTTTAGACTATTCTAGCTAGAATTTATAAGAAGAGCAAGCCACCTGATATGAACATAATGTAGGGCACCCCAGGTCATTCTAACAAAAACTTTTACCTGACACCTACCACTGTGCACCACGAAGCCACTGGCTATGGGCTGCACATCCAAGAGCAACCACCAGGGAGAATTCCAACTCTTCCTTATCATGTGTCTGTCCTATCTTGTTTACTCCCCCTGCTAGCGTGTCTGTCGCCCCATCGGTTAGTATTTCTAAAAGACAGCTTCATCATTAGGTATTCACTCACTATTCACCATCTTACCAGCGAAACAGCTGCTAGTTGAATCCTGTAACATTCAAACCTTATGAAGAGAGCCTCCAATCACTTAACTTTTACCCATTAAAGTACAGGCATATTAGAGGCGACCTTCTAATAGCTTAAAGTATCCTTAACATTTCTGGACATCCCTTTAAAAACCAACTTATGCTTAGCCCAACACTAACCCAAGGGGTAACACCCAGAAATTGGAGATACAACACGGCAGAACAGACCGTAGATACAGTTTCTTTTCCTTAAGAGTTGTCAAATGTTAGAATTTGCTGTCGGCTGAGCTAGTTCAAGCGACTTCCCGGGAGTTATATGAGAGGAAACGACCTATTATTAAGGACCAATGATAATATCATATTATTATGATTTACCAATATCTTTTTCCTCTATTGTCGTTGATATATGTAGGTTCCTGGTTGGAGGTATTGTTAATCCACTGTCATTAGACACGGAAGCCCCCATTAAGCGAAAGCTTGTTCTATTCCGTCCACAACCATATGAGAGATTTGAGTTGCCGTAACAATTCGGATTCGGCGCGACGTTTGAAATCCTGATGACCTTGAGAGTGGAACAAGATTCCGTTCAGTAAATAAAATATTTTTCTACTTAATCGAAGCGGCCAATTAGTGTGTAAGTGGACTTCAGACTCTCGAAGAAACTCTTGAAAACAGGTTCCAATAAATAGCCACTGTAACTAGTGCTCTGGAAAATATCTCATCGTATACAAATGTGCACATTACTTAATATTAAGACTCTTATAATTCTCCGCAATAAAATGAGAAAAAAGTGTTTGTTAACGATGCTTCCCAAAAATGACAAGCATGATGGTGTAAAATTGAAATTGTGGCACTGAAACTAGTAAAGTGCGTAGTCAGCATCACATAACTTTTATATTGTCCTATTATCCCCATTTTTCCTTACTATTTACATCTCTCTGATCAGTAAAAATGGTATCAAGAAGCAGTTTCTCATATAGTGTAAGCCTTAAAGATTATGTAGACTACTGGAAACTGACGGATATCCGCGTCTACAGCTTTTTGTGTTGCTTTTCTCATGTTTATGGTTCAGATCTTTTTCCACGCATGGAATCTCCTTCCGTTTTTTTACTAAGTCGTTTTGGATTCGAAAACTCTGCTTACCTGGAATATCAAAGGGGTATGGAGGTCTTACTTTAACATTGTATGTGCTAAGTAGCTAATACTTCAGTCTCTACTTGTCAGGATAGGTCAATCGATCCATATAATCTTTTCAATCTGTAGTACTGTCAAGATCAGGCCTTGCTGTGAGCGTATCCACAGAGGATGCTGACATTACGTGTTCTGATAGCGAATTCCAGTCATCCAATTTTTAGTGCGAGAAACGGAACTCTAGGTGTAAACTATTTGGTCTCGGTATTTGAACTTTCTTGGAATGTCCTCTCAAATGATTATTCTCGGATGAAAAGGAGAAAAAAACATTACTGCCAAGATCATCTCCATATGCGTGTGACAGTTGTACCATCATTAAGACAAAACCTTTTCACAGTAGGTTCAATGGTTCTCCTAAGCCTGCTCTCTACTTGGTTAGTGGACCACAATCGAATAATTGCCTTGTAAAATCGCAAAAGTATCTTAACCATCCGTCCACTTTGATGACAGTTTTGTTTGATAGACCTATCATCCTAAATTTTCGCGGTTCGGATCAGTGATGGAAGCTATAGTGATATCACTCTCTACCTAATCTTTCGAATGGAGGATTGACGATTACTTTAGTCCTATAAATACTAAGGACGACTACTTCAAGCGTTGTTCCTCAATCACCCTATTATTAATTGGGTTGTTTTGCCCCTCAGTTTCCAGAAAGAATATAGCAAGAATTATATATTTTTGTAGCCAAGAATGCGCTCGTTACCCAGTGGCAGATCTCAAGAAACAAATAGTTCGCTAGTTCTGCCTAACGAAGTTTAAGTTTTAGATAATGTGCATTGGAACCAATGAACCCATTCTTTCAGGTAATGCTTTTCAAAGGAGGTTGTAATGCTTTAAATGTTAAATAGCACCTTTATCATATTTATGAAAATGTGTTTTCGTCACACATCTCTACTGATGAAATTGTGTATAGAATCGGTAGCAAGTTTGACTATAGTAAGGTTGCACTTTTTTTTACATTAATCAGAGTTTCTGATTACTGAACTATAGAATTAGTAAGGACTTCAGAACCTTCAGTTTTATTATTTATTACGGAGATAATGTTCTTCAGTGATGTGCATTGGTTGATACGAAATCATTTTAGGTTTTACTGTTTGGATAGTTTTCCAAAAAGATGAATAAATAGAAAAAATGAATCCAGTGATGGGATTCTGGGAGAAATTGCGGATAAAATTGGATCGTGTTCCATCAACTCAAACATCAACATCAGAGAATCATAAAACAGAAACCAACACAACTCTACCTAACTGTACTACAACTCATTCGACAAATCCCGTTCCAACGCCAGTGACTGTGAATGTCTATGATATGGTAAGATAAATATATCTGTTGATCCCCATATTTATTATCCCTTCATTGGTAGTTTTGTGGTTGTATTACTTAAGTGTACAGTAAACTGACAAAGTCATAATATTATTTTAAGTGTGACAGATACAAATGTGAATGAACAAATGTGTAATGTTTATTTAGTCGTAAAGAAAACGATAGATTTATGTTTCCAGAAGTCATGAAAGGAAACAGTTTTTATACAAACATTTTACTTCAATAGGTGGGTATACTCATATTTTAGTAACTGATAATCAATAGATTTTAGACATCCGTAAATTATAATTAATGTATTTCGCGAAACCATTTCGATTCTCTAATTTATGACCAGTTTTTTTAGATTAAATGATCTCAGACCTCTTTTTATGGATTTTGTCCGATATCTGCTACAAAATCGATTCCGCTGCTTAGTTAATTCTTTGAAATCGCCGTAAGATAAATATTCTTATCACCATTTTGACTTAAAACTACACTAATCAGACCACACACTGACCGAGGAATCATCAGCATTGCCTGTATTTGATCTCTTATGCCATTGGTTGCTCAGTTTCATCCACCCCTGTTTATGAAACAGGTTATCTCTTCGAAGACAAATAGTATACAGTAATAGGTTTTATCGATGTTCCACCATCTTTCTAGAGAAATAAAGCTTCTTTCGATTTTAAATCTAAGTATGCTTCCGTCTCCAGTTTTATTTCCCTAGCTGCAAGTGTTTAATATCATGTCAAGGCAAAAGAAACGCTTCTTACATCTTATGAGATATAGTTGATGTATCGCTATTCAGAAAATCAATAGAAAAGCATGTAACTTTATACAAAAATTTGTTTAAAAGTTTAGCGCCATTCGTTAACCAACTACTGGTTTGCACATTTAACCCTTAAAGACTGTTTTATGAAGGTTTGTTGATTGCTCGGATCAGAAAATGTCCATTCAGTTTCAAATCTGCGGCTTAGTAATCATAAGTTAAGTACTTTTAAAATTTTGAACCATCTCTTGGTTTTCAGACACATTAAGAGTACAGATACGGTTTCAGAATCAAAATGCATTAAAATTAAGTTGATTGTCGCATAATAAAAGTTAGTTATGGAATCATTGTAGTATGTCTGTGCACTGAGCTAGCTATTTGCAACTCCAACTTCAGTACGATGGACCAGATAGCTTCTATCGTCTTCTTGATGCTAACTAGAGTAAAAATGTTCAGGTTTTTATAGGAGCTTTCCTTTAATATTTATTTGTTTGAGCATATAAACATTGGTACAAAAGGGCACCAAATACGTATGTGCCACACGCTTTTTCTAATAAAGACTAGAATCGATTTACATTCAACTTAATTCAATTATATTTGTATTATTCAGTGATTCAGTTAGTCTTATGCAGTGTAGAACATAGTACGTGTTTATTAATCCAAGTTACCACATAACATTAGCACAGAGAAGTGAAATTATCAGGTCACATTCTGGGATGGTAAAAGTAGTGAAGTTTTCAGTAACATTAGAAAAGATTAGGTATAAAAAGAACAACTTAAAGGGGATTTTCAGGACACAGGATCTAAGGTAAAATGCAGAATGAATCTATCTGCGTCACTACAAATGATTGTAATCCACGTCGTCTAACATCTCCAACTTCTGGTTACAATAATCATCTGGACACGAACTAAGTCGTTTGAACTTATCTATGTGGCTCAGACCAACAGGCAATGATTTCACAAAATGATGCTACGCCTTGTTTTGGCTATCCCAAATTATTTTTAACCTTTCCCATTAGCTTTGAAATCATCTATGATCTTATTTATTTATTTATTTGAACATCAAGGGAGGAGCCAGATACATATGCGCCACACAAATCTCATTTGATTTGTGTGAGGGCTATGATACTGCCTGGGTGCCCAAGCCGAAGCGGGTGGTTTTCTTAGGGGGTCACACTCAGAGCCTTTGATCTAAAGAGCTGATCCACAAGGCAGTGGAGCAACGTAAGGAGACGCAGTCCCATGGTAGCCGGCTACCAGTATTTGGTTCATACGCCACTTGTTCCCTCAGAATCCTAGAGCCCATGTGCACCATTGGTTTGGAATAAGGGTTTTTCAACTCCTTAGGTGGACTATCCGTGTCCACCAACCCGGTTAAAGCGCCGGACATTCTTTTTCCGTCCTCTCAATTTCGTAAACAACAGTAATGCCACGAGAAGGCAGTGAGTAGGACTTCCCTGGCAGAAATTATATACGCGTGGCCATGTGGGAGCATTTCAAGAGGGAGAGCGGACTCTCCCCACTCTCGGCCGTACCAGGGCATTTGGGGGCACACTAATATCTACTGTTCTTAATATTCGTAGGTTGTTAGTGTTTAAGTAATAACTGTGAATTATGAAATTTATCTAAATAAGCAATCATTAATTGAACACGAAATTACAGTGTATTAGAAAAATATTCGAATCAAATGACACATCTCATAATAATTAAATCAATATCAATGAAAATTCACTGAAAATTAATCAATGAAATTCAAATAAAATCAATATGCCAGTTTATTGATAATCATTCCAAACACAATGATTTAGTAAAAAGGATTAGTTTATATAATAGTTGAAAATCAACATAGATTCCCAAGGGTATTGAGACTAGTGACTTTTCTAAATGCAAGCGCATATATTATAGAAATCTAATCGTTGAATTCATGAGTCAATTAAAGCTAAACCACTATGGAAAACCTCGAAGCAGTGGATGGTCGTTTTGTCCTAGTATGAGACTCTTCAGCAGTGCGCGTTGACGATCCATAGTGGTCTAGCTTCAATTAGCTCATGAATTCAACTATTAAATTATTGTAATATCCAAAAATCCCTCTTTGACTACATACAGTAGAGTTGTGTACTAGATCCAAGTTATTCTGTTCTTTATTTTTAAGAGTTCATTTGAGAATTCACTGTTATATTCTGCACACATTTTTATTTGGGCACTCGAATTTTAAAGATTATTTTTTCAGTTGATGTATAAATTCTTCATCCTATGCTCACAAACTCGCCCTTAGCTTATCTCCTCATAGATTAATTAAATGGGTGTGTCTTGATCATTTCCTGGTATAATTAACTTTAGAATCCGCTTAAATGTAAGTGGTTTAATTGTTTCGTTTAAAACACATTTAGTTGGAATGAACTGTTTAATTTTAAACAAACAATTATGTCCAATTAATTTAGTCTCACAAAAGATGTGATTAGCCTTTGAAGCTTATAGAATCAGTCAATAGTATACAAAATGTTTACAGTTAATACTTAAAATATAGGGAGTTGATTCATCCTAGTCAAGCTTGTAGTTTTTGACTGGAAATAATTATGCAAAACTAATTATCTCTCTTTGTCTACGTATGTTGTTGATGCAAAACTTGACATCAAGACATTTATAATGGAAAAATTAGAGTCGGAGAGTAAATATTCATAAGTCATCCATAAATGTTGTATTGTCACATACGAAAATATGGGAACTTGTTCAAAGAGTTAGTTTGATGGAAATCACTGATGCGAATAATGTGGGTACAAACCATCAGTTGAATTTTAAGGATCACTAAATAAATAACTCAGCATCGCTCTTTTATGTCTAGTAAATTGATTGTTTTGATCATGTTGAGTGCTTTGGTTAAGAAGCTCTTATTGTCTATCTCTACTGTGTTTTTAAACTGTACTACATCAAACCCATTCAACATGGACTACAAAAATGTATGTAATGCTTGCTCTTGAACACATTCTCATAATGTGTGTCTATTCATTGAATCACATCAGTACAGATTTTTGAGTATATATAAAATAACATGTATTTATATCGTTAATAACAGATTATTTCAGTTTGATATTGTATATTACACAACTCTTAACTGTACATAAATGTACCTGAAGTTACCTAAAGTGTTACTTTCTGTATTAAAATAATGATAATAAAAATCAAAGGTTGATCATATTGGTTTATTTTCTTAAATTACCAACACGAATCATATTGTGAGTATATATAACAAGCCTTAACAATACTAATGATTAACTTTGGTAGTCAGATGCCTATCAGTTTAGTATTGATAATGTAGGACCCAACACTAGTCTGTCTGTTTAACGTTGGCACATCGATCGATCGATCAACTTAACATGATCGGAAACAAGTAAGGTGGAATCATATTCATTATAGTGGGAAGCTAAAGATTATAAAAAGTGGATAATGCTAAGCTTAAAATTAAGAGAAAGATAAGAAACCTTCTGTGCTCAATGTGTTCACATATTATGATTAATTTTAGCATTGTAACCAGGATGTCTATATCTACACTGAAACAACCTAATCTACCCGTAAGATGTTGTGCATATCTGTCATTAGCTTCATACAGCCTTGTTAAAAATAATTTGGAACTGTGACAAACTGCTTTAATACACTAGATGTGGTGTCATCAATGGTATGTTAGAGAAGATTTAAATCAGTCAATCAAGTAGTCCGAACATCTTATATATGACCTCTTTAGTTCATTAAAATATCAACATGTAATGTGTACCAAATACCATCATTCAACTCCACTTTTTGCTTGTCAAAAAAATCATATTCGCTCACAGCAAACGTATAGCTTAATCTGAAAGTATGAGTGGTGTTACGTATGTAGACAAAACCACTTAACTGTGTAACAGAAGCTCTGCTTTTGGTTGACGACTATCGTTTTGTCTCGTTGTTTAGGATCAAACTGCAACCTCAGAGTTTGTGTTTATTGTACTCGGACAAGGTCAAGATATTTCAATATTAGTCAGACTATCAACTAGAAGTTATCTTATTTGATTCGCAGATATAGTTGGACATTGATAGGTTCGTAATCAGTATACACCTAGTGTAGGAACGGGTTTTTTGTCATCGATTATATACATCATTCTATACTGAATGTTTGGTTCAGTTATTACTTGAATAGTATAGTAGAATGATTTTAGTCTGAATTTAATAAATAACGAAAGTTCCTACAATATGGCATTTTTAAGCACGTAACACGTAAAGTTGTCTCATATTATAGCTATTATCACATGAATTTTCTAGTTTCTTTTATTATGTAACTTGAAATAATTAAGTACAATTTCTGATGTACCAGGCTTAAAGTAACATCGTATATATAGGCTCGATTGTATTATTTGGCTGTTCAAGCTGAATTAGATGGAACGGAGTTAGGAACTACAATCCAGTAAGCAAATATGCATAATAGCTAGTAGTGGAATCCAGGACGCCCGTCTCGTCCTATTTGGAACTCGTCAACTGGATGTACCAGCATCCCAGAGCTGACGTTCACTCCGGAACTCAAACCCAGTGCCGTTCGCTTCAAACGTCATTGCGTTATCCACTTAGCTACTGAGTCCTGATAGCCTCCTGCTTGTATAAAGGGGTGAAGTTGAAATTTACTTGGTATTGTTTACTTGAATTTTCCCATGCAGGTACATCCATCTGACGAGTTCCAAATAGGATGAGACGCGCGTCCTGGATTCCACTGCTAGTCACTATCCATCTTTGCTTATAATACTTGTGATTTAAAGCAATCCGCACAGGATGCACATATCCCAATAAGAGACTGATAAATTGCAGTCCTAAAGATTGATGGAATGATTCAAGTAAATAATACTGAGTCAATCTACAACCCAGTATTTGTATTTTAATTGGTTTTTAAACACAAAGTAACTGCTTTTGGCTTTTCTTACCATATCCTTTCAACTTTGTGACAATAGTAACGGTGTAAATTAAATGATTCATGTTTTGTATCGTTTAGTTCTACTATGGGTCAGGCAATAATGATAATAATAATAATAAAGACAATGATAACTGTAGATTTATTTACCTAGTAATATTCGTGTAACTTTCATTCATTAAATGTGGAGGTCACACTGTTCATCATCTTAATGAAGATATCAGTGTTTTCTTGAAATTAAGCAAAATATTGTGACTGTTTCTTTGGTATATGTATATAATACTCATGCTTCCGTTTGTTTCCTTCTGTATCTCTTAGCCTAGTCATCAATTTTTATAGATAATCTTTGGAAAAGATAGCTTGTACACTTCTATTTTCTTATGATGAATAAATCAACCCCACTTGTATATGAAATTTATGACAGTTAGTTTATATTATTTAGATTATTGAAGCAAATTAAAATCAATCTGTTCAGGTTAAGTGAGGGTTTTTTCAATAATTCTAAATAGTTTTCAATTAGTTTTGATCATCAACTAGCACCACTTGAAGAGGAGTAATTAAAAAAAACCAAGAATCAAGCACTTAAATGATTAGTATCAGAAGGGGTTTTGTGGAGTTTGTAGTAATTTCAATAGTTGAGATCATGAGTTAATTAAAGCCAGACCACCATGAAAAACCTGGAAGCACTGAATGGCCGTTTCGTCCTATTGTGGGAATCCTCAGCAGTGCGCATCCACGATCCTGTCCGCGGTATTTGAACCCAGGACCTATCATTTGAATGATTGTTTTATCTTAGTTTGGAGCTTTTTTGTAATGCGCACTCCACCTACTCTTGGGTCGTCAAGTTTCATTGAACCTGATATCATATGTTTTGTTTTCCTACATCAGTTAATTTGTAATATTAGCACAATTCCTCATTTAAAATAAACTATCGAATCTCAATTCATTAACCTAATATTAGATAATATTATACTTACTTCATAAATTCTGAGTTTACTTCCGTAGATCTTCACTGTTAAAGATTCTGTAACTTAAAAGAAGCATCTGTTCAATGTGTTTCTCGATTTTTTTTTAAGTGAAAAATTCACTATATCATGTCACTTATATCGAATCGATCGTCAACTTGCGAAAAATTAAGGGTGTATATAATGCCTATTCTTTTCTAGTTTACATTAGAAGCAATGAAGTAAACACAACTAAAATAACTTTATAGTAGACTATTGTTTCATCCTATTTACTTTTATAATCAAACTTAATTGATCTAATTTCTTTATTGTTTATCTTTTTATATGTTTTGTGACATTTTAAACCTTGATATAATTCGATTTATCTACCGTGGGTTGATCATTTAAGTTTACTAATTGAACAATGATGATCAATTTCATTTTGATCATGTATGTTATTTCATATTCAGTAAATAAATTGAATCATTTGTCTTGAAATCTAAAGTTTCAATAAATAAATTAGTTGAATTTATGAGTCAATTAAAGTCAGACCACCATGGAAAACCTGGAAGCACTGGACGGTCGTTTTTTCCTAGTACGGGACTCTTTAGCAGTGCACATTCACGATCCTGTCCGTGGGATACGAACCCAGGACCTATCGATCTCTCTTGTGAACACTTAACCTCTAGACCACTGAGCAGGCGTCCAACGGTGTTAATGTTTAACTTCAATCAATCCGCAAGATTGCGCCACCTTCCATCATTGTCTTCAGTCAGTTACTATCTCACAACAGACCTTGTTGAACTCAACTGGTCATGGCTTCTTACTAGGATTCCGGGACGCGTCGACAACTTCACTTATCTTGGAAGTCTGACCAGCCCGAATGGGTTGGTGTCTGACGAAATCTCTGCACAGATTCGAAAAGCTCGTTTGGCTTTTGCCAACTTAAGTCACCTATGGCGAAGGTGAGATATCCGTCTATCAATAAAAGGACGAGTATACTGCGCGGCAGTTCGTTCTGTTCTATTTTACGGCTGCGAAACGTGGCTATTAGGAGTAGAAGATATTCGAAAACTACCAGTATTTGACCACAGATGCCTTAGAAATATTGCACGCATTTGCTGGGATCACCGGGTAAGTAGTAGTGAGGTTAGACGCAGGTTATTGGGGAACGATGGTAAATCAGTTGATGAGGTTGTGAATCTTCATCGACCGAGATGGTTGGGCCACGTGTTACGTGTGTCTGAACACCGATTACCACGATGTGCAATGCTAACCGGTGTTGGAGATGGTTGGAAGAAAGTTAGGAGCGGACAAACCAAAACGTGACATCAGTGCTTGAGGTCACTAACTTCTAGTCTGAGCCATGTTGGTAGATGCAGACTACTTTATTGGGGTCCGCATGACTATCGTAACCAATGGTTGGAGACTGGGTGTTATGGTTCAGAATCGATCACAATGGTGTAGGTGCATACACTATTTGTGTTCCTTTGAACTGTGAGATTAAAATCGCTTCATATTTCTCTTTCTACCAACTACTTCTTTCTTCCTTATTGCAATCTTTCTTTGATATATTACCACTGTTGAATTAACTACTTATATGAATCCGGTGTTCATCTTGTTATGCTAATGAGGTTATGGCAACTTGAACCGATGCACATATGTGCCTGGTCCTACGTTGTAGCTGACTGACTGAGAACTCCGAGAAATACCTCATGAAGCCAGTCACTAGTGATCAGATGATGATTATCATCAGAAGAGGGTATATTGTAGAGATTTTAGTAATTTAATAATTAAATTCATAAGTCAATTAAAGCTCACGTTTTTTTTACTGATTGTTTTGTGATTAGGTTAGATAACCAATTCTAGACTGTTACATAACTTTTTTTCTTCTCCCCTAATGGATATTGATTTATTGTTTAATAAATGCTTTATAACCATATTAAATTTATAGTTGTGGATAAATGATTACGTCAGTTCTCTTGGTATTGGAGTTTATCATACAGGAGTTGTAGTTCATGGAATTGGTAAGTGTTAACATCTTTGTTTTCCATTCACTTATAATTTGCAATGTTTATTCAGTTCATATTTGTAGGATTATATAAACTGAAATAAACTAGTAAATACAACTGAGGATATGATCAAAAAACAAAATAAAACCACTGAAATTACCACATTTCTTAGTCATACAAGCGATAATTAAAGACATTTGTATTTGTGAGAGAAATGATCTAAGAATACTAAATCTGAATTTAAATGACCTGTGAAATTTCGATGCTTTTCCATTGTAAAATTCAACATAGTCAGTATATCTCATTGAAATACTTTTATATTTTTTTCCTGCATACCATTATACTCGTTATTGAAACATGTTCTTGTATCTATGTGATTTTAAAATTTAACCCTTTCTAAACCTTTAAAATCGTAAAATAAAGCATTCCATGCGAAAGAGGACGTAGTTCCTGAATTTCTGACTCAGTGCTCGCATAGCGACAGGTGGTTATACATACTTAACACATGTCTTAACCACCTAGTTTTATGAACATTTATAACTTATTCGACTGGTTTGATATGTTTTCCTAGTACCTTGTACTTAACCTCGACTAACTGAGCAACATTGAGGTTAGGGATGGAGTATTTTGTGGGTGAGACGCCAAATCGCTTGATGAGCTTGTACATATTCATTGGTACAAGTGGTCAGGACATGTGTTATCCATGCATAACCGCTGTCTACTTCGACGAACGACATTTTTTGGTGTAGAGGTAAGTTGAATGAAAATTAGAGGTGGCTAAATTAAAATATGAACTCAGTCCATGAAGTCACTGACTCTTGTCCTAAGCTATGTAGGTGCATGCTGATCACCTGGTTGGGGTTCGCGTGATAATTGTAATCGATCGCTGAAGATTTTGGATGACATGGCTCAGACAATGGCGTAGATGCATTCACACTTTATTTCCTCAATATGGAAACCATATCTTTTTAAACAAGATTCCCAGTGCTTGTTCCTTCTCACTATCGTTTCTGAGACATTATTTTCTATCAATTTTGCTATTCGTATATATATTGGTTGTTTGGATCCTCCTATTGATGTTTAGGAGTATAATCGTTCAGTCTCTTTTGACATATTTGGATTCTGTTTGGATGTCCTCGATATTGCAATTAAGTCACAAGTATTTTAAGCAATATGGATGGTGCTTATTACTGGGATCGAAGACGCGCCTTTCGTCCTATTTGGGGCTCTCCAGTTGAAAGTACCTGCATCCCAAAGTTGATGTTCACCGCAGGACTCTAACACAGTAACGTACGCCTCAAATTCACCCCACTACAGAAGCCAGTGATTATCTGGACTTGGTAGCTAATTGGATAACATGATGGCTTTGAAGGGAATGGTACATGGTTCGAGTCCGGGATTGAACATAAGTTGTGGGATACAGGTACATTCAACAAACCAGTCAAAATATGACGAATCGCGTGTCCTGGATTCCACTGCTATCCACTATCTATCTCTCTTTAAACTGCTTTTACCACTCATTTTGTTAATCTCATCTCATTGTGCTGATATGATATAACAGTTTCTGCCAATCCACATCTGTCACTAGACTGTTTGTTGATAATGACTGATTGAATGGTAAAATATGAGCTGTAGTATTCCTTAACAAGTGTGCGTACTAAATGTAACCATTACGATTCAGTTGTCTAGTTGATAGCTATGGATGATTTGAGAAAACTGGCTTTTAATTAAAAATGTCATTTCCAGTATTAAGATGTGATTAAAACACGACCTTATAATAGATATAGATATTAGTCAATCGTTGATTAAAAAATTAGATTATTAGTGTCATGTAAAATTGATGACAGATAATCTAACCAAATTATTATTTCATTATCATAACCAGGGAAAAATAAACCTATTTTTCCTATCCTGTGAAACGCCCATTAACAGTAGTTCGTTCTACTTCGAGGTTATAATGTATTATAATTGTTTATCACCCATTCAGCTGTAGTTTGTTTAAATTTAATGAAGAATTCGTGTTTAGAGAGCTATTGTTTTGTAAATGAAATTTCTTGGGTGCAAAATTGCAAATTAGTTATGTTGGCAATTTCAGTAGTATTATTGATTAGAATTACACTATCGCTAAATGTACTTTATTATTATTTTGTCATCATAGAATATTCATATGGTGGACATCCATTAACCAACTCGGGAGTATTCTCTATGTTACCAAGAGATTCTGCTTATTTAGGCGAAAATTATTCGTACAAGTTAGTATTATTTTTCTTTGTCTCTAAATGTTGATTTATTCAGAATATTTGTTTTATTATTTACATATGATCATATGCACTTTGCATTTTGTACTCACAGTGTCTATGACAATGATTTTGGTGGAGTTTTGTTCAAAATCATCCACTTGAGTTACAAATCTTCTCCACCATTACAGAGAGTGATTATTTGAAAATTAGTCATATTCATGTAAAGTTATCATCTAGGAAGACAACCATTTGAAAATCAAGGAACACTCTGTACATCTAATCCGTCTTCATTAGCATCCAGGCGATCTAGTTAATCATCATAGAAGAATATTTACGCTAAGACTGAATTTTGTTTAAATCAAGTTATGAATATATGGCACCCTTGTTCATATATTTTATGATGATAATCATTGAAATCTGTAACGCGTGTTTGGTCCTTGTGTTGATATTTGTTAAGTCTGGTACTTGAATCCCTAACCCTGATTTCTAATCACTGTTTAGTACCTTAGAAATCTCTTACACTTGAATCCTTAACGGGAGATAAAAAGCTGGTAACCTGGAAAGTTTTACGAAAATATTTATAGGTTTTTTCGTGAACTTGATACTCTAAGATTATTTTTGGAAACTAGTATAAATTTAGTAACAAAATTAATTATTTATCTACAATGTGGTACGTAAAGTACCGCTTCTCCAGAACTATTTGGGAAGTTCCCGTTGAATCTTAAGTGGATGAAGTATTCTTAAATTTTCCTGAGCCTCTGAAGACTGGAGGGCGGCACTCAACAATATTCATGTTAAGGCTGGAACTGACGTCCTACCGCTCAAAGCTTACCGAAGTATTATTCACTTGACTGTTGATTCGTTTGACAAGCATGATATTAATTATTTGTTGTAAAGTTTTCCAAAGTCTATTTACCAATTAGAAACTGATCAAATTCAGTCCAGAATATCAACAATCGAAAAATACAAATCTGTACAATTAATATTAAATATCATATTCTTTAACCAAGTTATTGGGTGTTCATTGTTCTAGTGAATAACTGATATTTGAGGTACTTGATACTAGTTTCAAGTCTCAGTGTGGAGATTAACACCAGATTACTTACTGGTAAGTGCAATTTATAAGCCTCAGACATAACTGATTGCGCCTCCTGAATTTCAGTGTTATACAACATCAAAGCATACGTTTAAAAGTATATCCATTTTCGAAAGGACACTGCTTAGATTCAAATCTTAGTTTTAACAACACTTCATGAATGAACCTTTGTAACTAATAATTACTACCTGTCCTTCTTGCACATTCATGAATTTCTTCCGAAAATCATTTTTATTGTTTGGTCCAGTTTATATTGAATCCTGTACATTTGTCTTCAAATATTTAATGCGTTATTGATTTGTTCTCAATTTTGACATGACGGCTATATCGAGGCACTTCGCGTGTAATGCACATATCCCAAAAAACACCGATCAAAGTCCAATCATGAATATCAACAACGGGATAACTTAAACCCTTACTATTCGTGGTTTATGGAACTCAGTGTTTACGTACTATTGTGGTATGTGCTATTGATGTCTACAGAAGTAAGTAGCATGTATCACCAATCGAAGGTGGAATGCCTGGCGGCAGAACGTTGAGGAAATCGAAGGGAAAAGAACGAAAAAAGAGATTAATTGGTATAAGAACGAAGAAACAACAAGGTCTGAGACAATTGATGGATATTTTACAAATGAAGTATTTACTGTACAGTTCTCAGATTTTATCAAGACATTCTGTAATGTATTAAGATTCATTTGGTTGTTTCCGTTCGCTACACTATGACACAAGTCTTTCAATATGGGTTGATACGTCTTATAGTGCCTAAAGATATCACTAGAGATAGAAGTATGCAAGAAAAGTGAAACCGGTGGGTTAGTGGTTAGGGCGTTGGATATTTATCTCTCAGGTCTCATGTTCAAACCCCGCCCCGTCTACTTTCTCTTGGATATTTGGGTAGTATCATTAGTTCTCACACTTAAAATATGGTTTGTACATAAATACCTGGTGAGTGAGTACCGTTATGAAGGATTCACCTACGGCAGTTGGGAAACCTTGATTTCAAACCAATGGTGCATATGGGCTCCGGGATCCTAAGGGAACAAGTGGCGTATGAACCAAATACTGGTAGCCGGCTACCATGGGACTGCATCTCCTTACGTTGCTCCACTGCCTTGTGGATCGGCTCGTTTGGTCAAAGGCTCTGAGTGTGACCTCCTAAGAAAACCACCTGCTTCGGCTTGGGCACCTAGGCAATATCACAACCCACACACAAATCAAGTGACTCGTGTAGTACATATGTATTCGGTGCCCCTTTGTACCAATATTTATGCTTTCAAATAAATAATAAACTGCCTCGACGTAGCCGTTGTGATAAAACCCACCCGTTAGTACGGATAACGTGTCTAATGCTCTCCGGATTTCTATGATTCTGTGGCTGTCATTTCGTGAAGAAACTTTCTCCATATTATCATATGTTTTTAGATTTGTCCAAGTCTACACATGATTTATTTATCTGACATATACTTGTTGCCTATTTTCCGGAAAAAAGTCAGTGGTGTGGAGAAAGTGTTGTTTGGCATGTCGATTCATGAGGTAGTGAATCGTTAGTTGGAGTGTTTGCAATATATGTTACGCATGACCTACCACCGCCTACCTTGGCGGGCGAAGTTGTTTTGTATAGGAATAGGAGTAGGCGATGTGGTAACTTGAACTGATGCGCACATATCAGGTTCTACGTTGCTTATAACTGATGACCAGCTATGTTTTTCAAAGAAATCAATTTGATAAAGTTTTAGACGTAAATAGATATTTTTTCCTTAGTAATAGTAAAACGTATTTTCAAATATTGCCACTAATCTCATTTGCGTATTTTCTTCTGGAGAGTCATTGAAACTATTTAAGTGCACCAAATTAAGTTTATCCTGCAAATATCTCTATATATGTCTGAATTGATATAACGTCTCTGCCTTGAGGGTGTTGTAAATTACTCCAGAAAATTAATTGTTGTCCATGTGTTGAATTCCACTTAATATTACTCATTTCAAAAGTATAGATTTCTTTACTCAGCTTTTGGTCACACTTCTTACAAAAACTAATCTCGTTATTTATATAAAAGTATTTGGAATGGGTTCTGTTAGCGAGAAATAGATTGGATTAAAACATATTCCGTGCAGAATTGTGTTAGGGCACGTCGATTAGCTATTTTAATCAATCAGCACTAACGGGTGCTTGGAAAAGACTTTAGAATCCTCTTATGTAAAGATGATAAATATACTAACGTTTTTCTTATTGTGATTGCCACTTTCGTCCAACTTTGTTTATTCGGAGGATAATTACGTTCCTGTTCCACCGTGTTCTGATTTGATGACTTGTCTAGTGAAGTAGTGTCCAAGAAGACTAAGCATTAAGAATAGCTGGGTCTTAATAAAAGAATTTATAACAGGTTCGAATTCAGATCGAGTTTTACTATGTTAGTTTTATCATGTCTAGTAATGTTTCTGATATGACGAGATAAGATGACATTATTTATGTTAATATTTTCTGCATAAATTCATTATAAATTTCGGCCATGGTGATAGGTGCAAACTTTGTTCACTGACGTCTTAAAGTCCATATTTTCTTGTATCAATTTGGTATAAACTTTTTTCTATATGACAAGTTTGAACTCTCGTTCCCTGTATTGATTCAGCTGAACGATATTTATTTTTTCTACTGTAACTCTGTATACTTCCCTCCAATGTGATATTATCGTGTATGAAATTCAGTATGTAAATGATTGAATTATGGTCTAAAGATGATGTAATTTTGGGAATTGTGTAGAGACGTGTTTTTGGAGAGTCAATAAAATTTCATCGCATCAGTCTTTCGTGTTTTTACTTTGCGCCATGGGAATTGTAGGGGTTCTGTTTCCCAATATAAGCAGTAAGTCTAAAGACTCAACAGAATCGATAAGTACATAACAGCTACGACTTTCTATATACAACAGTTGGCTAGCCAGTTACAATTATGTCGAGGGAGCTAAATTTTCTTAGTTACAACTATTTCGCTGTTAGAATTAATGTATAAAGATACACTAAATGAAATTACTATCGAAAATCATTGTTAACTTTCATGTTATATCTTTCTTAGAGTGACATTGTCCATGGGATATACAGATTTTACAGCTTCCGACGTTCCTTTATTACTGGAGAGTATAACAACAGATTATCGTGGTGATCAATATCATTTATTGAATAAAAACTGTAATCATTTCTCCGATACATTTGTTCAGGTTGGTTTTACATTGTATTTCTATGTTATTGATTTATTTTGTTCATTAAGAAAACATTTTCTACTTCTTGTTTTCTAATATCATGGGTTATATGTGTAAACTTCGAGGATATTTAATTCATCATCAACAAACCAGTGTAACAGTGACTATTCGAAGAATTCTGTTTACTAATATAATATCAAATGGAGAAATATTTTGCTTATTTTAGGATACCTAGAACGTATGATTGCTTTAGAGTATTTTTTGGCTCAGTATATACCGCCTTACATTGCACTGGTTTTTAAATACATATTATTAAGTTCATCAGTGATCAGCTTGTGTGAATGTATTGAATTTATATATAAAGAATATAATCTGGTTGTCGAATATTTCTACATTCAATCAGTGGTGGGCCAAAAGTTCAAGTCTTTGAATTTATTACAAAACTTATGAGAAGCATTTATGTAAATGATTATTAACAGTCAATAAACAATGTAGAACTATTACAAAGTTGGTTGCTCACAAGTAATAAATGTCCTCTTATGCGAGTGAATTCAAGATAATTTGACAATTTTATGTGTGGGGCAATTATTATTCCCAACACAGTGGAAAGAAGGACCTTATGGAACCTTCTTCAACACTATGATGTACTTGAAACGATTGTCTACATCATACGGAATTCATACGACAGACTACACTGCGAAGTCGTGAATGGAGGACAGAAGACATGCATTCCAAATGAGGGACGGTGTCAGATAAGTCTGCTTATTCCCCTTTCTCTTTCTTCTGGTGGTTGACTGGATTATGAAGAATTCCACATCTGAGGGTAAGCACAGAATACAATGGGCAGTGTGGATGCAGCTAGACGATTTGAACTTTATAGATGACCTAGCTCTTTTATCCCATACACACCAGCAAATGCGGATGAAGACGACTCGTGTAGCAGCAGTCTCTGCATCAATAGGCCTCAACATACAGGAGGGAAAAAGCAAGACCCTCAAATACAACATAGAGAACACCAACCAACTCACGTTTGACGGAGAAGCTCAGGAACAGGTGGAATCTTTCAAGTACCTGTGCATCATCATCGATGAACAAGGAGGACCCGATGCAGACGTAAAGGCAAGGGTTGACAAAGCAAGGTCCGCATTCCTACAATTAAAGAACATATGGAACTCAAGACAACTGTCAACCAATATCAAAGTCAAAATCTTCGATACGAACGTCAAGGCAGTCCTACTGTACGGAGCTGAAACGTAGAGAACTGCTACAACCATCAAAAATGTACAAGTATTTATAAACAGTTGTCTACGCAAGATACTGGATGTCCGTTGGTCGTGTATTATCAGCAACAACCTGCTATGGGATAGAACAAAGCGGCTTCCAGATGAAGAGAAAATTACGAGAAGACGTTGGAAGTGGATAGGACATACATTACAGAAATCATTAAACCGCATCATGAGGCAAGTCCTAACTTGAAATGCTGAAGGGAAACAGAAAGAGGAAGGTCGAAGAACACGCTACATTGCGAATCGGAAGCAGACATGAGACGGATGAATAGCAACTGAAAAGGATTGCCCAGGACAGGGTTGGATGGAGAGTGTTGGTGGATGGCCTATGCTCCTCCAGATGGGGTAACAGGCGTAAGTAAGGGAGTAAGTTGATATAAATATACAGATATTACAATGAAGAGTCGGCCAGAGAAATATTGAGAGCGGCTACTACTAACGAATGTGGGTTGTTTGAATATCAAAGCTTCCTGTGCCTACCATCTAGATATTTCAACAGGCTACATTTTCGTTTGTCTTAACACATTACTACGTCTATTAATCGCATAACCCATCCAAGTGCATATATGAAAAGTTTGCGACCTATCACTGTACAAGGTACAAAAATATACAATCAGAGATATCGTGGTGGTTGATAATATGCATTGAAAAGAATGTACATTAATCATATGTCGATTTCATAAATGCTAACTTCTAACTGCCGATCACTAATTAGCAAGGCGAACTATCTTCATTTCTTGCTAAGTCTAAACATATATCGTAATTGTGGAATAATCACAACCCAAGAATCCTGGTTAGATGACTGGCAAGACGATTGTTTAGTATCACTATAAGGTTTCAATTTTTATTATCATGATCGATCAAGCAATAAAAAAGTGTAGTGGTGGTGTAGCTACATTTGTAAATGTGAACTGGTGTCGATTTGATTTTGCATGTCTTAAGTTTACAAACGACTTTGTCAGTTGTTCAACTCTAAGATGTCTAAAACACATCAGTTATGTTTATGTTAACAACATCTACGTGACTTCAGACTGCATACCATCTTCACTATCTGTTTTCGTTGATTAATTCACTGGATTTGCTATTACTCCCTTCAATGGTTCACTTTCATTTGTATATGGTGATGTTAATTCGTGTGACTGTAGCTTTCTTTCCTTGCTAGATCACCAAAATGTAGTAGATTTTCTCACTCGTTTGAATGATCATTTAGACTTCGTTTTTATTAATGGTGTGGGAATATATGTAGCCCTTTAAGTGCCCTGGTACAGCCGAGGGTGGGGAGAGTCTGCTCTCTCTCTTGAAATGCTCTCACGCGTATACAACCACTTCCAGAGAAGTCCTACTCACTGCCTTCTGGAGGCGGGGATGTTGTTTACGAAATTGAGAGTACGAAAAGCGAATGTCCAGCGCTTTAACCGGGTTGGTGGACACGAAGGATCCAACTAGAGAAGTTGGAGAAACTTGATTCCAGACCAATGGTGCACATGGGCTTAGTTTGTTCGCTTTTGTAAAAGTAACTTTTTGAAATACTTCGTGCTAAGTATTCCATGTTGTACCAAAAATATAACATTGAATAAAGCCAATAATACTGATAATAATAAATACGTATGAACAGTTTTGTCAGGATCTGGTTTATTAATGACCATTGTGAGACAGATAACTTTGAGTGCGATGAGTATCACATGTATTATATAGAACAATAATCAGTGTAGCATGTGTATTTACAAAAGGAAGTTAACATGTCCATTTTAACAATAGAATCGTACTAATTAAATGAAATTATGAAACGTATGAATAATATTATTAAACCTATCTGGATTAATAAGTTTTATATATACCGAATAAATACCTTGATATTTGCTTTCTTCAGTTACTTTGTGGTCGATCTTTACCTAAATGGATAAATCGATTGGCTACAATTGGTTCCAAACTTCCATTTATTGAACGTACACTACCAGTTGAATGGTTGAAACCACATCAACAGGTAAAATTTCATTTATTCGATTGTCAATTCATATCATTATTCAACATTGTTTAGCTTACACATAAGTAATAATTCAAGTTGGAAGAAAATTTAATTCAAAATTATTTACAAACAGGTTATCGTACTGATATCCTATCAGCTATTTTATCTGTGTTTCATTACAAACATTTTGGTAGATCGTTTCCTCAGAAACAGTTTTATCATTATTTACTTACTTACTTACTCCTGTTACCCCTCATGAAGGAGCATAGGCTGCCCACTAGCTTTCTACATCGAACTCTATCCTGTTCAATCCTTTCCATATCTCCTAATTCTCGACGCAATGTGTTCTTTTCCGTGTAATCATGCACTTAGGAAATTTAAATAGAATATTTGTTCGACAATTGTTTGTGGTATGAATAATACCACAGGTTGAAATCATGAGTCAGTTGAAGCTCGACCACCATTGAAAACCTGGAAGCACTGGACGGCCGTTTCGTCCTAGTATGGGACTCCTCAGCATGAATAATAACATAAAGCATGCGAAAATCCAATTCATAATTGTTGTAAGGGGTGAGAGACTGCAGGTTTTGGTAAGCAGCGTTTATATCGATCGCTTCAGTGACAGTGGACACGTAAACACGTAACGGACGACCTAGAGTCCCGATTGGTCCCACTTCCCTGTCTAGCCCAGCCAGTTGAGTCTAGAACGCAAGTCACAGCCTCTGAGTTATGAATCATTATATTTCAAACATACTTTGTTTATATACCAATCAAGCATACCACATCGTACCATAAAATAGGAAACAACATTTACAAAATATTTAACAAGTGAAATAAACATCGACCAATAAGAAATGTACATTTAAGGTTCAAGGCCACCGTAGATTTAACACGATAATTATTGGTATATTTTTCCGACTATCCTAACAATAATCTCTCTTAATTGTACTTCATAATTAAGTCTTAACATAGTCAAGATTTGAGTGTCGAGCGAAATTTTGTATCACTAATCGTTTCACATTTTATTATAGTAGTATTAGTGGTACCATTTTTTCAGTTATTTGATCACATGAAACATGTAAGTCAAGTCAAAAGTATACTGTCGGGAAACATGAGAGACAGTTCAGCGAAGGCAATTTTCTCTTCGACAATGTTGTTTACTTTTGCTGTATATTTAGCTAAATTTTCTGAAAAAAAATAGCAATCTATAATTAAATATAGAGTTGGTTTTCATTGAATTTCTGAACCGATCAATGTTGGATCAATACTGAAAACCTGAAAGCGCTAGACGGGCATTTCTTACAAGTATGGGACTATCCAGATGTGGGTATCCACGACTCTGCACACGAGAATCAAACTCACGATTTTTGGTTTCTTGCGCACTTCTCAGAAGTCCCATACTAAGATGAAATGGATGTCTAGTGCTATCAGGTTTTCAGTGTTAGTTTAAAATTGATCAGTTCATAATTTCCATGAATCTCAACAATATCCACAACCTTATACGTATAAGAGAGTTATACAAAGTGGTCAAAAGGCTTACATATGAAATATAGTAGTCTGTAAATCGAATACAATGTCTATCTCTTATTCTGAATAATCGATAGTTTTCTTTTTACTTCTTTCCAAAAGATTTTTAACACCTATTAGTTAACTGCTACTACAACCTTTATGATCATTCTGTCCGTCATATTCATTTAGTGGATGATGTGGACAGAGAAACAAGAAGCCTCGATAAACTACGGAAGCTATTTTTCGGGACATTATTTCGTCTAATTCAAAGCTTTTAAAGCAATAACATTTATTTTTGTCCCAAGTCTATTCTACAGATCATAAGTTTTCGTTTGATGTATGATTCACTGCTGTAGCCCTTTTCTGTTCCAAAGCTATTGTAATCTAAACATAATATTTTGTACTCTATTTTCTACTCTAATTCCCATCTTTGGACGTAATTGTATTTTCCTAATTATTGTACGTTGTGGTCGGGTTAGTCATCTATTTATTCATGTACCTTTTTACACTAATCTGAAGTCGGGAACCAGATCGGAATTGAGAATGAGTCGAGTAGTGTTCCAGTTGACTTGTCTCCTTTCAGTCGCGTGCTTGTCAGCCAATCAGGTGATCGAATAGTCTTCTCTCTACCGCACTTCGAACTTACGCATACTAGCCTCAAGGTTAAGCCGGTTAGCCTATCGCGTCAAGGTTTTAATCTAGATTAAACAAGTTATCCTCAGCACGAAAAGTGGGTAGACAGATCATGGACGTAACAGTGGACAACTATCATTCTCGTCTATAAACTACTTTTATCCAATACATTTTCTTTACATAACTTCCATTTGATCTTTTAAACAACTTGTGATACAATAGCATTTTAATCATGGTAACTGTTTGGAATGACTCAATGGACTTCTATTTTATCATAGACTACTATGTTTTTTTTTTTAATTAACTATACATGTGATTGTACAGCTCGAGTAAACAACAGCGTCAAAACGAAGAGTTTCTTCACTAAATTATTCTTTAAGTCTTCCTTTATAAAACAATGTGTTTATTACATTGTTGTATTAATAAGTAAGTTGGATTGGAGTTTCTTTGTAATTAGTTTGTATTATTTGTTTGAATCTTCCCATTGATGTTTAGGACTGCAATTGATCAGTCTGTTATTAGAATATGTGCATACTGTGCAGATTGCCTCGATATTCTCTTAAGTCACAAGCATTATAAGTAAAGATGAATAGTGGCTAGCAGTGGAATCCAGGACGTACGTTTCGTCTTACTTTGTGACTCGTCAACCAGATGCACTTACATTCCAAAGTTGATGTTCACTCCAGAATAATGCGATGGCGTGTTTAGCGAACAATACTGGGTTCGAGTCCCGTAGTGGACATCAACTCAAATACAGGTACACTTGGTAGACAAGTCCTAAGATAGGTGAAAACGCGCGTTTTGGATTCCACTGCTAAACCAACATCCGTCTTTGCTTATAATGCATGTGACTTATTTGTAATTATGTTTGTCAAATCGATACATGGTGAATCGAAACCAGGTATATATATCTCGAATACATTAATTTTTCTACCGAGCTTTTCTGTGTACCTGCTACTCATGTGACCATCGATCTACATAGGAATTACTCAAACATATTAAATTTAATTTATTTGTATTTCTCTATTGTATTTTTACTTCGAATAGATTAATAATCATACAAATAAAATAGAAAAATATGACAATGATATAGAATGTATAGAACAATCAAATCATTTAAATATACAGACTACTTCATTGCCTAATATCCGAAGAATTAGTACTATAGAACGTTTACAAAATTGTGTACATCGTTTACATAAAGGAAATATACATAAACGTGAACAAAATCATCATCATCATCATCCTCATCATTTAATAAATTCTATAAAATCTGATACATATTCATTAATTGATATTCCATTGAATGAAAAAACACAAATAGATTATAGTTTATATTTATATTTAACACAATATAAAACATTTTCTAAATCTAATTCTAATGATGGATACAATAAAAAAATAAATCCTTCTGTTACTATGACAAATAATACATTGAATATGAATAAAAATCATTGTATTCATCATCAATTTTCTAATGATTTATTAACAAATAGAATTATATCATTTCATGGTATTTCATTACCATCATTATCATTAAATCATATTGATAACACTTGTAAATCTATAAAACGATCTCAATCTATTGCATTTGATCATATCTATCAAAATAGATAAAAATGATTATTGAAAAAGAAAAGTAAATTTGTTTTATCTTTCATAGAAACTTATAAATTATTCTTATTCTCAGGAAATTAATTTTACAGATTCATAGTGATTTTTTTTTTCATTGATTCTAATTGGTTTTGTATTAATTGACACAATTTAACTCAAAATTTAATTGATATAAATTGATGGTTTATTTTTCACTTTTCTTTTCTTTTTTTTTCTCTCGTATTTTCTTCTTTACGATATTGATTGATTGTATTGTTATATTGTGTAGATCTACCATTTCATACATTTCATACACAAAGAATGAAGGTTTTAATTGTTTGATGATGAGACTATGATTGATGGACGACGTTGGAGTAACGTTAAAGTGACCTTAAGAGAGTGTTCCCCTAATAACTAGGACCAAATGATGGTTATAATCCAATGTGTGGAATTAGAATTATGATTTACATTTGATGGTTAAGGTTTGGGATCCGATTTACAGTTTTCATGCCAAAATCTAAGACTTTTTATTGTTATACCTCATTAGTTCGTTCATAAATTATAGTCTCGTCAATTGTTTGTATTTTTTACTATTTACTATCGAATATTTGTTTAAACAGAAAAACGCATATACACACATAATACATATACATGACGATTGTTAACCTTCAGTTGTTTTGTTTTTTCTCTAATAAGAAAACAAATAGAACTATAAATTGTATTTTAGGTATTTTCTAAAAGAAAAGAAGAAGAAGAAGAAGAGCTTTACATATATTCATAACAAGTAAATGAACTTGTTTCCATTGAATTTGTTCAATAAATCTGTTTTACATATTATTGTTTACTCATTTATTACATAATTCATAATAGTTGTATTCTTATTTTTTTCAAAATTTAATCAATATATATTTATATATAATTGTTGCCATAGTTTCTGTTTTGGTATTTCTTTTTTTTTCTTTAGTTCATATGACAGGGTTTTGAATTCTTTCCTTCTAATCAATCAGTATTAATATATAGTTTTTGTTCAAATCGTTTTCTTTTTTTTCCTTCTTCAATCATTTATGTTATAATTTATGTAACTACCTGAGCATCATGTCAGAATGTTCAATTTTCAAAAAATAAAAAAGAGCGGTACAATTTAAATTGATCAATATTCTATTGTTTCTTTAGTTTCCTCTTTATGTTGTTTTAATAATTCATGATTGAATTTAGTTATATTGGTATTATTGAATTTAAGATCAGTTCATGGTTATTTGACAGTATTGTTTTCTTTTCTTCTTTTTTTAATCGATTTTTTTTATATATTTGTCTTTCAAAAAAGAAAAAAAATTCACCTTTGAACTCGAACTCTAATGGTAATGCATTTATTTGTTTATTTATATTCAATTTAAATGGTTTAAACAAAAATTAATGGAAGTTTATTTGTTTATTATATCTGTCAATCAGTTTTGTTTGAATGTTGTTGTTGTTTTTTTGTTTTTGTTGTTGGTTTGTTTGTTTTTTATTTATTTTGGATTATACGTTTTATTAGTTCAATTTAGGTTTTTCTTTTTTTTTTTTCTTTTTGAACAAAATAAATTGTATTATCCATATGCGTAAGTGTATTGTTAATGTGGTTATTTATTATGTATGGTTTCCTTTTCTTTTCTTCGATAAAAAACAATAAAACAAGAATATGACTATACAGTTGTAATGATCAATAAGTTGAAATCAAGATTATTCTTGAATTCATGAAATAATTGAAGCTAGACTATCATGAAAAAACTTGAAAGTACTAGTAGTATAGCTTTAATTGACTCATGATCTCAATTATCTCCACAAAACTTCTCTATGATGATAATCATCATATGCTTACTAGTGACTGTTTCCAAGAGTTATTTCCTGAAGTTCTAGTGAGAAACGGTGACCGGTGAATTTCAATTGGGTCTGTTGTAAGTTAGTAACTCACTGAAGACAATAGTGGACGGTGGCACGATTTCGTGGATTGGTTAAATTTAGATATTAATGCCGTTGGATGTCGGCCGGCCGGCTCAGTGGTCTAAAGGTTAAGCGTTCGCGCGCGAGACTGATAGGTCGTGGGTCCGAATCTCACGAGGCGAGGGCGTGGATGCGCACTGTTGTGGAGTTCCATACTAGGACATAACGGCCGTCCAGTGCTTCCAACTTTTTCATGCTAGTCTAGCTTCAATTGACTCATGAATTCAATTATTAAATCTCCACAAAATCCTTCTCTGATCAAAATTATTCTTTTGGAAATCTGTTAATTTAAGAAATTGCAGTCTGAATGGTACTGAGCTGCTAAATGCCCTGGTACGGCCGAAAGTGGGCAGAGTCCTCTCTTCCTCTCGAAATGCTCCCACATGGCCACGCGTATACAGCCACTGCCAGAGAAGTCCTATTCACTGCCTTCTCGTGGCGGGGGTGTTGTCTACGAAATTGAGAGTACGAAAAGCAAATGTCCGGCGCTTTAACCGGATTGGTGGACACAGAGAGTCCACCTAGGGGAGTTCGGAAACCTTGATTCCAAACCAATGGTGCACATGGGCTGGCTCCAGTATCCTGAAGGAACAAATGGCGTATGAACCAATTGTTGGTGACCGGCTTCACTGGGACTGCATCTCCTTACGATGCTTCACTGCCTTGTGGATCAGACCTTCATGTCGAAGGCCTCGGGTGTGGCCTCCTAAGAAAACTACTCTCTTCGGTTTGGGTACCTAGGCAGTATCACAGCCCTCACACAAATCAAATGAGACCTGTGTGGCGCATATGTATTTGGTGCCTCCTTGTACCAATATCTATGTGCTAAAATAAATAAAAATAGAATGATACTGATCATATGATTTAACATACTTTTAGACTAAAGTTGTCTGTCTGTGCTAACACGAAGAAATTAATTTTGACCTACTTAATAATGCAGAGTAATTCGAAAGTTTATCTGATTACGACTGAATAAATCATCTAGCATTTAGAGATTTATGTATAATGTTCTAAAATGTACAATCTTAATGTGTATTAGAGTGAATTGATAATAATCAACTGTTTGTTATTAAATTTGATAGAAACTTAGATATTTTATTACATAACTATCTGGGACAGAGTAAGTCAAATTGATATAAGTTGTTTCAATAAGTGCTTTGAGTAGATTTGTTTAAAGGGAATTTTTCACGGATTGACGTAGATTAGATAACTATTAGAAACCAGGTAGTACTTAATATTTGCATTGGTTGATCATCGATTCGTAATTAGTTAGTTGTACCGACCAAATTTTATCAACCATTTTGAAGTATGACCAATAGTCTAATCGGCTGGGTATTCCATACATTATATTTGAATGATATTTAGTTGAATTTAAGCAATAAGAAACTTGAGCTTACGTTTTGTGCTAATCAACCATCGACTGGTTTTATGTAGGTGTAAACTAAGTGTATTGACGGATCGCTGAGTATTACCAAATTGTCCTGCGTATAAACTCTTAATTGTTCGATTCAAATTACGTACTTACTTAAGCCTGTTACTTCCAGTGGAGCATAGTCGGCCGATCAGCATTTTCCAACCCACCCTGTCCTTCCTTTCTAGTTCTACTCAATTGTTGTTCATCATTCTCATGTCTGTTTCCGTTTCTCGGTGTAACGTGTTCTTTAATCTTCCTCTTTTCCTTTGGCCTCGAGGGTTCCATGTGGGGGCTTGCCTTGTGAGCATAGTTTAAAACTAATTGTTCCTAAGCCACCCTCAGCTGATTTTACAAAACCAAATACTATTAGAAATAAGCACTTCGAATTTATTGCTACTTTTTGAGGAAAAATACGTTTAACATACTCGGATGTTTACTATTAATTGTATTCACAACTAAATTAGGTCAACATAAATTTTCTATTATTTAGATCATTTTAAAACAATTTTTCAAGTTTGAATAAAGATAGAATAAAAGTAGTAACAGAATAACATGGATTCGTTTATTTCCTTAGATGTTTACAATATAGAAACAATAGTATAAATCCACTTGGTATTATTTGCTTGTATCTTCTCATTGTTATTTAGGACTGCAATTGATTAGTCTCTCGTTGGCATACGTGCATCGTGTGCTGATTGCCTTGATATTGTCTTAATTCACAAGCATTATGAGGAAAGGTGGATTTTGGTTAGCAGCGGAATCCAGTTTGACACGCGTTTTGTCCTGTTTGGGACTCGTCCATCTTTGCATATAGTGAATACATAGATGTAAAAGATTTAACATCTTATCAAGTAGTATTGTTATATCTCATTTCATACTTACCCTAGTGAATATTATGTATACTTATAAATAATTCTGTAATATGGAGCTGTAACTTGGAAAACTAATATAACAACCTATTGGTGCAGAGAACAAACTAACTTCCATCTGGAGTAGACACTAAGCGAAGACACTGGTGGTGGGTAGGACATAACTTGTGAAAATCATCAAAATAGATCATGAGGTGGGAATTTTGAAGGCAAAAGAGGAAGAGAAAACCCAAAAAAACACTTTGTGTCAAGAACTGAAGGCAGACATCAAAAGAATGAATATCGATTGCGAAAAACCAGAAAGGGTTGCTCGCGACGTAATTGGAGTATCTTGGTTGTAGAATCCTGATGGGTGGCTTATGCTCCTCCACGTAGGTAACAGGAGTAAGCAATTAATGTAAGGAGAAATAATAATGATCGGTCTATCGAAGATTCCAACTGCATGACTAAGATACGCATGAAACCAAAGTTTAAAAAATAACGATTTGTCTAAGGAACAGTTCTATTATTAAGAAATATACATGAATTTGTTACAAACCTTAACTCGTAAGTTATTTGTGACAAAGAGGGTGACTGTATGTCTGGAAAGATGAAAGCTTTTTTTAATGTTGATACAAAGAGTAATCATAACATGTTAATGTAGATGACAACTGATGACTATGTCTAATGTTAACAACAACTAATCAATGATCAATATGGATGCGGTCGCATTTAAGTATAGATTTAAGGAATTTGAAAAAAACGGATATAACTGCTACAAAGGTTGAGCGAAGTTGATTAAAATGATAAATACAGGAAATGCTATTAGTTCATATAAATATTTCAAATTACTAAGTGATAATAAAAATGTTGCACCATACGTCCAGAAATTATTAGATATAGAACTGGTTACTGAATATTGATAAGTAGTATAAAGCGATACATAAATAATGGATGAGATGAGAAGAGGATAAACAGAATGAAATGACGTGGCTAAAATGAGGAGGAAACGGCTCAGTAAGAAGTTCAATAATCGAAAACCTTATGAACACAGTTCACTCAATCAAGACTGACTGCGTTCAAAGTCATCTACAAGGTAAGTAGGTGTCTTTCAAAGACAAATTGCATCATCTTTGCATTGCCCTAGCAATAGCCATACATTTGGAAAAACCAGAATTGTGTGTGCAAAATAGATTGATACAACCTCTTCTATCATGGTCTTAATTTTAGAATGAAATGAACTTAGCGGTTATCATTAATCGCTTTCAGCATGTCACTTTGGATCTATAGACAGTTAAACAATTCTGTGAATGAAAAGAACTGGTTTGAAAAAACAGCCATCCAATCCCACCGTTAATAAGAAAACAAATATGTCATTCAGTATTGAGTTACATTTCTCAGTTTAGGCGCTTAATTTATTGATACTGATAAGTACAAATTACCAAATCATTAATTGGTATCAATTACTACTGGTTCGAAGTATTCAAATCTATCTAATGGCTGGATATTTAAAATCATCTATCACGTTGTAATTTTCTGATGTCATTG